AATACGCATGTGGTCTTCTTGCGTCGCCCGCGGGAAGCTTGACACCCACGTCTCCAGAAGGGAGATCTACAATATGTAATAGTCTATGGTCTACCAAGATTGATTGTGCTCGATACCTCCAGACTGTTCTTACACATGAGTGTAGGTGTAGTATACAAGATCAATCTGTTGCAATATCTTTTGACGTAAGATGGAGAATGAGACCTTTAGTCTAACCCAAAACCGAGAATGAGAGGAGTTTCACAAGAATTACATAGCGCTACAGCAGTACAGCACGGCAGCGGATTGGGAAACAACCGTCCATTGAACGCTGAAGGCTCGTTCACCTCCGTGGCACGCGGGTGGATGTGAGGCAGATTGATGGCGCATGGGTCGAGGTTCACAAGGGCCATCGAGATGCCTTGTCCGTCCAGAGCCGGCAGCTGGTTCACATTGACGAAACGGATCTGGAAGCCGTCCACCAGTGCATCGGGCTCAGGACCGCCGAGGCTGAACACGAAGTCCTCGGGGTTGAACAAGGTGATTTGTTGCTGAACGCGCGAAGGGGGAACACGAAGGGCAGCATCGAAATCAGGGGGGCGTTGTCGAGCCATCTACAGCACTGAGGGAGTAAAAGCATGTCGTGGCGAGTCGAGAACTCATGAGCTGGTCCATACAGCAAAATTGTAACCCCAAAATTGTAGCAACGAATCGCCGGACCAAGCTCTCGGGCTCGGGCCGATGTTTCGCACGCTGCATCATGCGCACTCCGGATGTGCCGGAGTCCTGCTCTACAGCAGCGCGCAGCCGAGCACCGGACCACAAACTTCGTCTGCGCTGCTCGCTACAGTAGCTACAGCCATAGTACCGCAGTAGAACATGACTGTATGTAAAGCGCCTCTCTCGTTCTTTCATGACTTTATCTGTACCTGCGCAGTGACGACGCCGGACGCCTGCACCGTAGACGACATGAGCCCAGCGGCGATGACAAATCCAGCAGCAGCGCAGAAGGTCTTCATGTTAATCGCGAATGGGGAGCTGGCGAAGGGTACGTTTGATGGAGAGGAGAGGAAGAGAGAGGAGCAGACCTGAGGTGGTTTGGTGTGTGTGTGGTGTGGTTGGGCGAGGAGGTGTGAGAGGGGTGCGCGGGTTCGACGGCGCAATGTGAAAAGGCTGCCGGCATCAAAGATCTGGGTTATTTTTTTCCGAATGAATGTTCTTCTCTGTCGGCGTTCGGGACGTCGGTGCGTTGTTCATCCGCGCCTCTCGGAAAAAATTGCGGGCAATTGCCGCCGCGAAAAAGCTCACCTACACTAACCCTAACACTAACCCTTAGCTTAGCTAATCTAGGGTTACCTGGCATAGAGTGCAGAGAGGCGAGCGGAGTGGCCTAGACTATCTGTCGTTGACTTTTATTGGCTTGCGGACCCTTTGGGCCCATTTTTGTTTTCGTATACCTTTTTTTGGGTAAGTTTGCCTGTGACCAGGGGAATCGACCCCGTCAAGTGTTAGACAATACAGTCGTACGGACAGAAGAAGGAAAAAACTATTACTAGGCAGAGAGAACGAAACGGTTTCAAATGTGAAGATAACAACAACAGCAACAACACATGTATGTACATGCTGAAGCCGTGACGCCATGACTACGCGGCGCCAGCGGGGGACCTACACGCGGAAAACAGGGAGTAAATAAAAGGAAGGTTTGTTCGTCGAAGCAGATAGAATAAACTGGTGTTTATTTTGTAACAGTCGAATTAGAATTTGGCTTCATTTTCTACCGGAAACCCAGGGTCACGGTGTTTGGAATTATTAGTCTATAGTTGGGGGTGTCATTCCGTGATCGAGTCCACGCAGGGGCTGTAGCAAAGTCGGGTAACGTGTGACAGCTACAGAGCGTGTGAAGCAACGGAAGGACAGCAGCAGCCGCCTAACGCAGTAGCGGCGGCAGTTTAGAAAAGGGCGGGACGGGACACGGCGCAAGCATTGGGGAAGCGACCAGCACGCGACTCTCCATATAAAGGTGTGTACTCGTGTCCAACATCCATCGTGTCGGCCGTGTTCCTATTCGCGTCCCGCTACTCTTGTGACCTCACCGCTGCGTGCATTTAGCACGAGGGGGGAGGGTGCAGTAAGATAAGCGGCGGCAAGCCACCGCAGTCTCGCTCGCCGCGCCGCTCAGATAGGTCCCTTCCCAAACATGGGATGCGGTTCATCCCAACCGAGACGTACTCTCGCTGAAGAAAAAAAATGCGGTTCGTCCCAACCGAGACGTACTCTCGCTGAAGAAAAAAAAAATAGATAAGCGGCGGCAAGCCACCGCAGTCTCGCTCGCCGCGCCGCTCAGATAGATCCCTTCCCAAACATGGGATGCGGTTCATCCCAACCGAGACGTACTCTCGCTGAAGAAAAAAAATGCGGTTCGTCCCAACCGAGACGCACTCTCGCTGAAGAAAAAAAATTCAACGGCAAAAAGAAAGAGCGGGGCCTGTTGTATGGTCGCACGCTGACTTGTCGCGGTTGATAGCAGCCATTGTACTGCACGGGGTGGAGGAACCCTGCGGCATCGGACATAACCAATCGACCCGCGGCAGTAGGGCATGATGCTGTCACGAGTATGCACATGAGGCAGGTGCCTTGTTTTCTGTTTCCCCCGGCTTACTAGGGACTACTTGCCGGTACAATCTTGTCTGTGCCGCGCACAGAGGGGCATATAGCTGAAGGAATCGACGATAATATGCCCACTCACGTAAGCAATCGTCTCCACGGATGGTATCGACAAGTCCCCACTGATGGTATCGACAAGTCCCATGGCATACAAAGCGGCCGCATACGTAATCGGAAAGTGCATTCAACAGCATTCACGGGAACGGATAAAAGCAAAAACACATGCATGCGAGAGAAAGACTCAAAGAAAAAGACTGAAAAACAAAGAAGACGAGAAAAAAAAAAAAACGAGACAGCGAACTACGTGCTGTATGCATAAGGAAAAAGAAGATGAGAAAAAAATAGGGGGGGGAGGTGAAAGTGACACGCGAGGTTCGAACTCGCGAGGAACGTCAGGTAGCGGTCCATGTTAGCGCATCACGGTCTCGAGGGGCATCACGTCAAATTAATTGCCGCTGTGACACAAACCTTCTATAAGAATACGTCACGTCCATCGACGATTAGGCGACCAAAAACGCCCGGACAGCAATTGATGCATGCCAAAAACTCGTCAACCTGCCGTAGGATTGTCTATGCGGAAGTGATCTCAATGAAAAAAAAAAAAAACAAGGACACGCACCAGCACGGGACGCGCCAATAGTGGAAGCACTCGTCCGTGCTGTTGGCGAGTGGAAGTTAACCGATCTCAACGCAACGAAACACGAAGTCATACATGTATCAGCACGGGATGCGCCAATGAGTGGAAGCACCCGCGCTGTTGGCGAGTAGAGTTAACCGAATTCAATGCAGCGGTAGAAAAATACCACAAATCATGCATCAGTACGGGACGCGCCAATGAGTGGAAGCACCCGTGGTGCATATGTGATGTCAGCCTCAGCACGGGACGCGCCAATGAGTGGAAGCACTCGTGCTGTTGGTGAGTAGAGTTAACCGATCTCAAAAAGAAAGAACAAAACGCCGTACATGTATCAGCACGGGACGCGCCAATGAGTGGAAGCACCCGCGCTGTTGGCGAGTAGAATTAACCGAATTCAACGCAGCGGTAGGAAATACCACAAATCATGCATCAGTACGGGACGCGCCAATGAATGGAAGCACCCGTGCTGCATATGTGTTGTCAGCCTCAGCACGGGACGCGCCAACGAGTGGA